GCTGAATGCTGAAAATGGCAACAGTTGGCTGAATTGGGATTACTTTTACGTTTACTGTTGTCGAGGCGTGTTTCCATGTCGACTGGCGTTAGCACCGGCAACGATTCTGCTCAAACTGGAGTCAAGACGAGATCTGACATGTGCGGTCTACTCCGCATCGCTGTGCCCAAACCACGGCCTCGATATCGCCTCGTCGTTTCATCGGCAGTTACAACAGGACTCGAAGCAAGGACTCGCGAATTTACAGGCAGGCAACAAATTACATTTTATGGGCATGAAGTTAGTCGCTTAAAAATTCACCTCTTTTTATACAGAACTATTCACTGACAGACTACTCACTTTGCCGTTAGTAACAGTTTCGACTCGCTGTTCTGTGCTTCTTTATGACATGTGGCTATAGACAGTGAAATGATGGGGGGGGGAAATACAGAAAAAGCAGATGAGACCGGCCCTTGGTGTCGCCTGTTGACGGTCAAATTTGCTGTCACAATAAACTTTTCTCTTCGGATGAAGAGAAAAACCAGACGAATTGAACTTGCCAAGACCTACCGATAGTGCCGGGTGGCAACAATTTGGCAGCAATCACTTCGGTGGCCTTACTCTCTTTTCTGTCGTCCCCATGGCAACGGGAAGAACATCCGATTCTGAGACGACCGAGGCCGACGAATCCAGCTGGATGCCGGTGGCGAATCGTAATTCTTGTTGCTAGGAGGTGAAGAAGCAAAAGTCAGAAAAGGCAGCCGAGAGTGGCGATTCAGCGGAGCCGGGCTCCATTCGCTTCTGCGGGGACTCGGCCTGTGTCGGGCGGCTCGAGAGTGGATGAAGTGGCCAAGAGGATGGACAGTCGTCAGGCAGAGCGGCTAGCAACGTTGCCAGGGCGGGGTTAAGTTGACACGACGACGAAGTTGTGGAGCTCGAGGCGACAAGTGGTCGTCTCACTTTGAGGCCAGGTCGCACAGACGTGATCTCGGATCATGCGAGACGATGACAAGAGTTGTTGACCAACCGAAAGCAAAGGCAGCAACAGCATCGATCTGTCGGGGACACAGTGAAGCCGTCTCGGATACCGTGGAGGCAGGGATCGATGCTGCCTTCTCTTCACTCGGACATGAAAGTGCGCATCTGCCCAATCGCGGCTCGTAGACACACTTCTCTGTCCTCCTGTCCGTCTGTAGGCACTTGTGTGTTTGTCCGACGGCCGGAGAAACCAAGGGGACTCGAGACCGGTCAGCATCGATCCTGACTTGAGCTTCATCTCCGGCCCGTCTAGCCGGGAAAGGGTGGGGCGGATAGGCCGAGGGGGTGGCGTGAGGGTGTGAGGGTGTGAGCGGACTGAGTGCTCTGCTCAAACCGGGCCGGACAGGAGTGAGGCCGGGT